ACCAAAAACCGTAAAAGTCCAAGAAACCTTGACTGGCTCATCTCCGGCTGGAAAAGACAACGTGGTCTCGTGTCTTGAGCCTTCGCACAGGACTTACTATTGACAAATTTAGAAAATACGCAGATGCTATCCGATCACGGTGAAGTTCCCGCTCAAAGCGGCTTCCGTGTTCCGATAAATGAATATTGCCCTCCGATTTTGAAAACAAAGCTAAATTACCGAAAACTATTCCGGTATTCCATTTTTAAATCATTTGCCCTCACTAGTTTTATTGTTTTTTCCAATTATTAATAACAAATTTCCCACCGGGACTTCTGCAATAGCCCACAGTTACAACCTTCACTGGGGTCACACGAAGATAAACCGACAACGGGGAAATGAGGATCGGTCGAACTTTGTTTGTGTGTGTGTGTGACAACATACCTATTTTGCTTCGAGCCAACTGGTGTGCACAAGTGTGCATGAGGCCCCAGCAAGTTTGGCAGACGACTAGCCAAAACATGAAATTCAAAGCAAGTTTGGCAGACGACTAGCCAAAACACGAAATCCGGCGTGAGCTATTTTCGCTGCAGTTCCGTGTCTCCACCCCAAAGAAAAGTCGGGCTCACAAATGCCAAAACGACGCGTTAGGGTGACGTAAGGAACGACGGGTCCCGAGAAAAAACACGACATTCTGTCACATCTTCACACTTGACCTTAAATGAAGTCAGGGTGCAAAACCCGAAAGGTGGCCTGTTCGACTTTTCTTCTGGTGCATTTCGTTCTTGTTGTGTCCGACTGTTCACCGGCCAGTGTTCGAAATGTCAACAACTACCCGTTCCTAGTCATGTTGTCAGATGCGCTAACCGATGGAACCCTCTTACGCGCTGCCAAGGCTGTTTTGGGTAAGCTCGTTGGAGTTTAAAAGGTATTCCAACATGAGAGAGAAATTTTATTTATTTATAATATTACTGTTCACAGAAGCTCTTCCTAGTTCGGATCACGTCCCGAGTCCAAAAATCGTTTCTCAAGCTGATTCTATCGTAAAAGTTCAGGTCATGGCGGAAACATATTTAGCCAAAAAATCGAAAAGAAGCACCTGGAACGTGAAAATGATGGACGCCCATGTGGATGGAAGGCGTTGCAGAACCAACTCTGGTATTTCGATGCTTCAGCTTATCATTTTCACATTCAATTTATATAAGATGCAACCGTCGTCAATCCAGAATATGTATCAAACAAACGCTTCTCGCCAGCACCTATCGTCCAAAAAGCAAGCTTTAGAGCTCCGTGGGCTTCCCCTTTCTACAAATGTTAGGCAAGATGGAATCATAGGTCTCGAAAATCAGTATGGAACCCAAACGTGTGGAAACAAGTTATATATATGCCAGTTCACAAGAGTTGGACGGAGATGAACGCTACGGAATGAGATAACTAACTACAGTACTCTCTAAGGAATGCACGTGGGTCTTTTGCCATTGTTTTGCACATGATAGATCTCTCGTTGATCTGGATATATATCTGATCCTCTATACTATATAACCGTGGCGACGGAGGTCTATCACGATCATGCTTCAGTGAGACTTACCCGCTCATGTGAATATTCCCAACTCAGATCACATGATAGTGAAGAATACCAGATATCCTCAGTGAAGCGAAATCCCCAGGTTCTACGTACAATGATGCTGACACAGTAATCTTGTTCAAATAACTTGGATGGCGCCATTTCCAACCTGAGTGAACAGAGTTGGAGCGGATTAATTAAATATTCATCATCTTGAAGATCGTTTCCCAAGGCTTTCTAGTTCCAACTTGTACTCTATCATCAATTGTTTCTGAAAAACTACTACATATTGGCCCATTATGCGTCATAGTTCCAATGATCTCAGTGCAAGTTGGTTCCTTTCAACAGCGACTCTATTATATCCATGTATATCGTACAATTCGACTACCTCAGTTGGAGAAGTCCCGCCCGCCATCAGTTCGACCGCAATTGTCAAAGCTAACGACTAGAAATTGACTCACAAAAATTGGGGTTGTAATAACCGATTGAAGCATATGGACATCATCGAAATGCACTCATTGGCAAAAAAATTCAACTAGGTTCCAGTTGGGTGTCCCGAAAAACGAAATTTGTGTGGAAATGAGTGTGCTTCATCAATTTCGTACAACTCGGGTTCATGTGGAATTTCGGGCACTGTCTCTACCTGATCAGCCCCAAGAATGACAAAAGATTTTCAGAAACCTTATGAGTAGTGCATTACGTCCATACAGTGGACATGTTTTAGTGTGCCACAAGTCCTAGAAAAAGTCGAATTTTCAAATTGGAGGGAAATTGTGTAGACGAATAAAGGAAAACAACGCGACTGTCAGGAGGTATGACCCCTGTCCTTGGTGTCTATACACGGGGACCAAGAAGGTCACAGATTCAATCTGGTAAACGCAAAACGTTTGGCATACAGAGACACGAGACACAGAAGCGAATTTCCGGAAGCATGGTACTCCACGGCGGATCAGAGCAACCGGTGCATCAAAATGGATCAAATTTACGCAACTCTACGTGCAACAGGCCTAGATGAAACCCGTGATAGTTAGCGTGTCCCTTCTTCCAAAAACGTATTCGCCGAGTCTAAAAGAAACAAGGAACACTTAGGAGTCAAATCAACAAAGGTCACAAGCCGGGACTTGGAAGAACAAAGGTCACTCCAACATCGACCAGATTATGACGGCGGAAGATACCAAGCTCAAAGGTCATGTGGGCATCGGCGAATGAGGACACTGGATAAAAGAACAACCAATAGAACCGCCCGACCGAACAAGTCAGAGGTCATCCCCGGCTAGCAGCACGTATATCAACACACACGCAGCACTACTCAACGCACAACCACCAACCCACCGCTACGCACAACTACGCTCCTCAATAACGCACTGACCATGTCACTTCGATTGTTGATGAAACGTTTGCCCAGCTCAGCGAACAAGCCAACGGCCGTTTTCATTTAGGAGTAAGGTCATAAAGGCCTCCCTAAATGGCACCAATTTCCCACTGAAACAATTTTCTTCCTCAAGAGTAGGTCTGTTTGTCTTCTGGGTTCCATCTGTGAACACTTATAGTGTACTAACAGTGATTTTTGGGACTCTTACTTATGAGTAGGTTTTGTGTGATTTGAAATCCCTCGATTCCCGAATATGCCGCAGAGGTGTACCGTTTCGATTATTCCTAAGGCGCAGTATGCAAAAGGATACCTGCAGTTGTTGTTGCAATCAAACAAGGCCATATCAAAGAGTTCATCCCGGCCAACGAACTTTCGTAACAAATATTTCGATCACCTACACATTCAGCCAATCTTCTCTCTCCATACCAAATCAGAACCAATTAATTATAAAGTAAAAATCTTGTAAAAAGGTATTTCGTTCGGACCAAAAAAGTGTACCATCGAAACAATGATGCATCCTCGACTGCCACCATTTATGGTCAAACGCTTTCGCGACTGTTGGTATTCGGCTTCGGACGATCAAAGGATCGGATACAAAAGCGAACTGTTACTCTGGTAACGAATGATTTGGCAACAATCTGGCACTGTGCGCTAGATCATCCAATACTATATCCGCTTTTGCGTATTATCTGTGTCCTTGGTCCTAACCGCTTCAAAGAGCACGCGGCGACTTTGAATCATTGTGTCGGCTAGTGACGATATGGACATGCTGTATTGAACTCAACTGTTTTGTGCACATTCAGCGAAATTCCTTTGATAAAACTGGATACGACTGTGTTTTAAAACAAGCATTTTTAGAGGTATTACCGTACTCTAAAACACTGGGGAAAAAGTTCTTAGCCCGAATTTTGCTAAAACGTTCAAGTTTATCGTTCGAATGTATGTTGATGTCACTTGAAAATAGTATCGCAAAGTGCACAGGACGAGATCTTGTTATTTCAGGCGTCTGGAGACATCACCGAAAGACCACCACAGCAGTGACGATTTCCGCGAGATACACTCATTTGCAAACTCATTTGGTTTTCCGAGTGACTCAACTGGAACCCAGCTGAATTTCCCGTTTGTGATGATTCCAGGCAACCTTATGTGTAGTACATTGAAAAATATACATGCATCGCGATATCTCGAATATCGTAGCGACTAAAACAGGAGGCGGCCTGGTGCAGCACATGCAGTTGCCTGGGAACGTTACAAACGAGAGATTCAGCTGGGTTCCAGGTGAGTCTCTTGTGAAAACTAAATTTGTTTGCAAATTAGTGTATTTCTCGAAAACAGTCCAATTTGGGTTGAAGTAGAACATAAGGTGGACGGAAACTCGGGGACTGAGCCTACCTGAAGAAACCCTAGAAGGGCGAAACCGTTCGTGGGCTGTCGACAAATTTTCAGCAACCTTATGGGTAGTACATTAAAAAAAGTGACGATATTTGTTTTTTAGTGAGTCCGTTCGATTTAGCCTTCATTGACAATCATTCAGCTTGTGGTTGCAGGACAGAGTGCACCAAGGCTAATTTCACTGAATTTGCATGATGTCCGCTACTTTCAAAGTAGAGGGAATCAGTAAATTGCCGATATAGCGGCGTTCCATCACATAAATTTTAGAACGCTCGTTTGTTACATTTTCCCGGGTTTGAGTGCGAAGGAATTTCAAATGCCACCTCAAAAAGACGTGTGCGCGAAAAATCGTGACGTTCAACCATCAATTACATGTACGCTGTACCGGAACGAACAATGATTCCCCATAGAATTCGTCCATTTGGAAACCAGTGATCGAATTTCTTGTCTGTGATTAAAGGCACTCATCTGACCAACACAACAAGCTGCCGAAAGTGCAGGGAAACTTCATCGTTTTGGGTAACATTTCAAACGGATAATGGATAATCAAGCAGGCCTTACCATAAGCTGGGCTTAACGAAATACACTCATTTGCCAACAAATTTGGTTTTGCGAGCGATTCACCTGGAACCCAGCTGAATCTCTCGATTTTGATGTTTTCAGGCAACTTAATGTGCTGCATGGGGTAGCCTCATGTTTCAGCCGCTACGATATTCGAGATGTCGGCTGGAAACATCCAAACCGAGAGATTCAGCTGGATTCCAGGTGAGTCTTCCGCAAAATCGAATTTGTTTGCGAATGAGTGTATTCCACCAATTTCGTGCAATTTGGTTTCAACTAGTACATAAAGTTGACGGAAACTCGGGGGATGCGCCTACCCGATGGGCCCCAAGAGAGGCGAAACCGCTCGCGGGCTGTCGAGGTGTTTTCAGCAACATTATGAGTAGTGCACTACAAGCTGAGTGAGTCCTGTAGCATCCGGAATGTCACCACTTAATACTCAGCACTCACTTTAACCTATCCGGAGGTTTTCAGAACACGCACTAGGTTTGCACATGTACTTCGTTGGGCGATAAGTAATACGTTTTCGCTGAATTTATTTGAGTTCTATATGCAAAAAATATATGGGGAATGTAAATGACCTTTTATTTGGTGAACTACCACAACGGGTTTTTTTATAATACGGGAATTTGGGCTACTTGTTCGACATAAACATATTTCCAAGTTTTCGCACTTTTTACGCCTACTTTTTTCATGATGCGCAACGGAAAAAAATGAACTGGCCGAAGAGCCTTTACATCAGCTCCACCCGTTCGCTTCTTTAAAAAACCCTTGTACGAATTATCACTTATAGAGTTTGTTGGACACCCTAACTTGTGTTTGCTTGACTAAACGCCTAATCTAGTTTCGGTGGGCAGCGCTCAAGAACTGAGACTCCAGGCGCTTTTGCAATGTCTCTTCCAAGAGAAATTACTTCTCTTCTGATCCCTAGAACGTTTCCCTGTTCAGTTTTAGGATACCACCGTTTTGCAGACTTTTTGCATCTCACTTTATCCCTGTTTTACTTCCAGTCTAAAAGCGGCAAGTTTTAGCAAATTTCTGCTAAATCTCTATTCAGCGTCCATCACATTGATGGTATGAATACTTTGAAAAAATATCCTCAGCTTTAAAAATACTTTAATTTGCATCATAGAAGGATTCGATTACTGAATTTGTAGCCCCTTTCGGAGCGTATAGATCACATTTAAGACCTTCCTATCCCGCTCTAGTTTTTTGGACATACAAGGATACAAACTGAGCCTTCAAACGGCTGGGTTTTCGACTCCCTTACGCGTGATGACTCACTTTAGTTTAGCAAGATACAATGTGAAATCTCCAGTGTTTCTGCTCCGAGATGCTTAAGAGTCCTTGTGCCTAATTGAAGTGCTCCCGGGCGTTTATTATGCATCCCGAATCAAAGTTATCTAAATCCCGGACATGCTGCTACATCGTTAAATTCACGCCGGCAACCGTTTGTCATGTAAACAACGACCTCAACTTAATCATTCATTAGGTTCTCGTTGAACGAGAAAAAACTCCGAAGGAACGAATGACCCATTTTCCCTCCTCAGTAGAGTTTGAATAATTGTTGCTCAACAAAAATCGGATAGATCCGGACCCTCTGCCTCTCTAATACATCCTCGTACATGCTTCATTTCGTTTAAACAAAGTTGGAAATAAAACTTCAAGTTATGCTTGCGTTCTAATCAACCGTCATGTGACGACATTTTTTACACCATAGCGCTGGTACGCAAATAAAACTGTCGTGAAGTTCTTGTGATGTCTGATCTTTTAAACAATGATGAGAATAGCCTAACCAGTTAATCTAAGTTGGGACTTATATAATGTTCAAAAGTCACGAAGTACCGTATAGTGATAGAACGAAACATGACAGTACAGAACGTCTGACTAAAGTTTAGCATTTCGAACACACTGATTTGACTTCTTCGTTGAACGATTTTGAAAACGAAATCCTATACTAAACCACCACGTCTGTTGATATAGATTGGTACTCAGCTAGATTCTGAACTGACGGATGTCATACTAAATCCTTGAGCACCTGAGTAAATTTGTCCCCATGACCCCAACTTAATGATATACCGCAAAGTGATACTTACCTAACAATTGGCATACCTGCTGTGGAACACTAAAAACTTTCGTCTGGTTGGTATAGGCTTGATGGTTGAACTGGGCGAACATACGCACTTAGTTGTGCGAGAAATTGTTTGTTAATACTACTCTCAAGGGGGAATGAGGGTGGATTTTGACAAATTTCAATCACTGGGCTCACATCCGTGTAATTTTGTATATACGATTCTATTATATAAATATCATCCTTGAAAAATCGTTCAGTTGTTGACAAACTGTCATACCACCCGAAGGAAGTAAGAGGGCTAGATATCACCCGAGCCCAGACGGAAAGTCAGAGGTAGGGTTCGAACCCCAGACCTTCCGGTCAGTAAATTCGCACTCTAATCACTGAGCTATCTCATACTTCATCATCCTTAAAATAGAAAAGAAATATTTGAAATGTTGCCCTTGTATTCTCCAAGCTTTACCTCTGCAAAATCTGTGGAGAAAACGGACATAAGCTACAGTTATCATATCACAACTTGTTTCTAGGAAAGTAGAATATCTGTGTGGATAACCACTATTCGGAGAATAACAACAATCAAACAAAAAGCTGGGTTTGAAGGGCACATATATTTCTAGTTTGTGTTGGAACCCCTGGCACCACATAGGGGCTTTCTTTAATCTGATTTAGATGCACCCAATCCCTGCACAGCATCTGATAACTTTATAACTTTTGTATATTTGGTAAAATCCAAGATATCATAGGTCGTTACACAAAACATTTCATCCTGGCCATTGCGTTAACAGTCGTTTTTTTTTTGAGATTCCTCTGCCCAAAGTGAGAGAACGCGTCAAACCTTGGGCATGTGTCCGATCTTAAATTTCACCGAATGGTAGGTGAGATTGCAGTTGAAATTTCGACAAACAAAAGTGACAGGACTCTATTCGAAACTAATCAGTAAGATCAGAATTTTGCCTACGGAAATCGTAAAATTAAACAACATAACCAATCAAGAATGGTGGAAAAGTAAGGTAGGAGTACATATGTCTAGGGGATAACACGTCGGAATGGATGCCTTATTAGACAGGAAGAATCCTGGGCATTGAAGTACAGTTTCCACTATCGATATATTTAGCTTTACTAAGTAGCTTCAACTACATAGCTAATGGGATATTTTGCACCGGCCGTGGTATCATCCAGTAGTTGTCTGTACCTTTACAGAAAAAATACTTCACAGGTCTTTTTGAATCTGCAACCGAAGTGATTTTAGATGGCGGGACTCCACTCTGGTAAGACTCTCATGTACGTGCAACGTATCATGCCCCAGGATATCTCACAGCCTTGCAAATGTGTCTAGATTAGTGGATACAATCAAAGGAATAGATCAACTTGGACCGCGCTGCATTGTAGTTTCAATAAATCGCTGCAGTCAGATGGAATTGATCAGGGAAGACTGAGGTGCCTCATCAGACGCTGATGACAAATATACAACCTTTTTCGGAGCAGCTGAAAAAAATCTGGCTTAAAGTATGATATACGCAAAATTTTCTCCTGAAACGGTTGTTTACAGCTTTGAGGCGTTTCGGCGTAGAATTGATTCACTTTAAGGGTCTTCCAATCTAATTGAAGTAAGACTACGTACAATTTGAAACGATGAATACCAGAAAACGGAACTCGTCTGCGTCGTGGAGTTTTAAACCAATTGATCAGTTGATCCCCGGAATCTGTGTGATAGTTTGACGTCGCCTTCCAATCCCATGCATTTATTGGTTTCACTAACAAACGCCTAAATATAACAAACCAGAAAGCAAGTCATAAAAAGCTGGACGAAAAATTTGATTGTATATTGCTGACGAAAATGAATGTGAATTAAAATATTCGGAAAGACGGGTGAACAACAGATGTATTAAACAGTGACAAATTGGTCGGTCAAATAACTAGGGAAATGGATTACTCTCATTTAAGTTTTATTATTACTAATCGGTGATATGACAAATCTGGAATCGATACACGAAAGTTTGAAAATTTGGTCACAAAGATGCCAAATCGTATCATTTTCTTCGAGAACGCCACCAGAAAAACGAAATTTTCACAACAAAGTCAGTAACAAAACCTGGATGAGTATTTTTGCGGCATCTGGAAGGTGCGGCGTTGTATTGTCTTTTAACCGGGTTGGGTGATTTTTAACGGCTGACCGAAGCAGCAGCTGGGCGCTTCCAATGTGATGGAACCAGATAGAAATTCGTAGATCAACTCACTGTCAGAGGTCGTACAGCATTCTCATAGACAGATTTGTGGTTCAAAACATTTTCGGTCGGCCATAGTCAATTGGTTTCGACCTGAAAAGGAACAATTGCTGTAAACACATATCGCCATCACTTAAACATTATAACCGCGGATTTAGTCCAACAAATCTCTTTGTTACTGTAGAATCGTTGGTGCCAGTATGTGAACAATTATGCCTGAAATCTGTTAACAATTTCCAGAAGTGGACTTGCCCGAGTTAAATCCAGATAAACCGAGCACACTTCCCAAGTCCTATTCCAAGTATCTTGTCCTATCACGACCAGGAGGTTCCAGATCACTCTTGACTGTAGCGGCGATTCGGATCTGCTTGCAGGAGTCCCACTGTGTCATGTATCGATCGTTTACGCTTCCCCACGATTGGGAATGCAGAGGACTCGCAGATGCGCAAAACAATGTATACAAGTATGTGTCAACTACGTCTGATACGGTTAGCACTAGTTGTTTATGAAAGTTAGAACAGAAAACAAGCCAGGCGTTTTTTCATACCCCTCCATAAGCAGGAGAGGTACTACTGCGGATATTCACAAAGGAAAACGTAGACTCTCATTAACTTTAGAAAAAACTGAAGAACGTGTCATTTTTCATAAAACTATTTACTTGCCAATCGAAACGAGCATGAAATATGGATAGATTAATGACTTGCACTGTAGCTGGTGCAAACTACACGTCTATTCTGAGAGGGCACTGAAAACTGTTGTCAGGCAAAACTCACCCTGAACAGAACATTATTTATCGGTCACACTGGTGCATTTTTATTAGTAGAGAACTACCAAGAAATGCTGCTTTGTTTTCTGGGTGACTCACAAAGAGCTAAGCTACTCCCGGTCTGTGCGATTTTGTGTTAAAACTCGGGGAAGCATGTGGCTTGACTTGATGAATGTCACCATGATCTGTGTTTGAGCATCTAGCAATTGAACCTTGTGACGTTTTGAGCATTACTTTCGGGATTTTCCTTCAGTTTATCCACTAAAAGCAAGCTTGTTTGATAAAGAACCAGAACAAATCCCTTTTCGTTTCGATATGCGTCGTTTCAAGTTTACAATAAACGGATTTCGACCGACCGCCTCACAATAAGACAGTTTTCTGGTCTTTCAGACTTAATCCATTGTAACAACTTTTCCTCAAGGTGTATGCTTTTTAATATTTTCTCTGTCAATCTGCAGTTACATATTTTTCAGTAGTAAAGCACGTTTTTGTGATTTAAACTCACAGCTTCCAATTAACTGGAGAGAAATTTGCGATTTTTGACAAATTAGTTTCATGCCAGTCGGTTTCAGTGCTCCTGAGACACTGCAGAAAAGGGTACCTTGCAATATCAGAGCTTAAGACCTAAAAAGAAAACCCTCTTAACTGGTAAACTATGTGCACTATTCTGAACTTCCACAACCGCAATTAATAAATTGGCACGTGACGGGCACTATTTCATGTATTCTCATGAAACTGTAGGAATGACTAAATTTCAACGAATTATCTTGCAACGACATAAAACAGCAATGATCCGGCTGCAAAGGGTCAACTCTGAAATGAAGTTTGGAGACGTGGATGACGCAAGAGGATGCAAGATCCTGTTACGTAGTGAAACATGCCAGTGACTAAATAGGGGCTATACCAACTTAGTGGGTATATTTGCCATCCAGTTCATACTGGAGTGGCTTTTGAACCCCGAACCGTGCACTTTTTAAACACAAGTGATAATGTGACAAAATAGGTGGTCTTTTGTGGGGACTGGCGTTCATTGCTTACTCGGTCTAATTTATTTTAATGATGGGGTCAAAAACATTTTTGGGCTGTTTGAAAGCATTCCTGCTTCCATGTATATGATGGATCAAAGCAAGCTCGCCAGTTCCCTCAAAACCGACTCAAATCAGGAAGAGATAAGAGGCGAATGGTCGCTTTTTCACAACATTTTCTTATGCACGTGAATGAATATAATTTTCCACCTGGGGTTGGCACCAACTGACAAAGTCTGGACAAACGCTGAGTGGTTACAATGAAACCGAGAGCCAGTTGGCCATGTATAACCAACTTCAATATCCACTTAACTCCTGTAAGTTTCTGTATGACCCAAAACTTCACAGCTAGAATTAAAGGAGATTTTCGCGACATATCTTACTACAGATAGTTTGATCAGCAACCAGCCAAGAACGAATCCCCAATTAATCAGAGTTATTTTGTACAGTGATCCATGGCCCGCAAGGGGGTCTTAAATTAGCCCGTGTTTCGTTTTTCAGCGTTTGGTTAAGCAACATTTCACAAACTACCAAAGTTCGCCGGTATCTTATACGGTTACGTGGACCACTCAACCGAAAAGACCAGGCATACGATCATCATCGGATCCCTAGAATCGTTTTTTTACGCACACAGCACGGAAAATTTTAACTTCTCGACAATTTCGATTACAGCGTGCGTAATGTGTGCACCAACATGCTCACTCAACTCATTTAACCATCGTTTTGTTTAAGCACCCTTTTGCCTCGGGCTTCGCGCAATTGACAAAGTACATAGTTTCGGATTAACCGCAGGACGGAGGTCAAGGTCAGTTCCACTGACGGCTTACCCTGAAATATGTCGATATCCTTGACAAGAGACGACGTGGCCTTAATGCGATCCAGTCGCTGTTAACTCCGAACCACATATGGAAGGGAACGCTGATTTGGTTTTAGACTGAGGATAGATAGGTTGGTTAATGATATAGTAGCCAGATCAATTAAACTTGAGAAGAGACGGCATTTGAAGGAGGAGGTCATGGTCGAACAGCGTGATGCACCATCAGTCAGGTTGGCCATCACAATCGTAACACTTACGGTAGTATAGCGACCTCAAAACTGAATCGGCGGACTGAAGTTTCAGTCTTCCGACCACTGACGATAACCGTTCCAGGAAAAAAATTGGTATCATTAAAACTTCGAATCAAGTAGCCGAAAAGCGGTTCCCGTACTGCCATGTGAACTGTTTTTGAAGTGGAAAGCAGTCTTGTCCTCGAAATTGTCTGTGCGCACTCTTCCTCCACCCTATGTTCGACACCTCACAGGACTGATATATCCGTTCCGCCATTGCTTAAACACCTTTGTACTGCGAGTAAGGTTAGATCGGATAACAACCGACACCATGCGGACGCATGCAACGTCATGCGGTTGGCCACCGATCTACAACAGAACCTTCTTGAATAGACGTGGAATTTTTAACGAGTGATATTTATGTTATCAAATCACTTCATTTGCTTGCAGCTTTCACGTCCACCCACTCGGACTTTAGTCGCATGCTGGTTTGTCCTAAGCAACGGAGACCATCGGGATTCATCGGAAGCTTCATGTGAATTGGCCACCTTCACAATGAGTTAGTAAGGCCGATTTCAAACTTGGACAACATTGCTTCTGCGTCTCGTCAAATAAGTTACTTCTCGGGTCGGTGGCTCAACCGTATTTTCAAGTAATCGCATTCAATACCGACGGTTCCTGAGTAGTTGGTTTTAGCTGAATCCGTGGTTATTACCGGACATTTTTTGCTCCATGAAAAGGTTTGCGAATTACCACACTGTTGCATGGGTTTTCGGCAAACTGCAGACCAAAGTGACGAGGGTCTCAACAGCCGTCACGTCCAAATAGGTGTCTGATTTCGAGAAATACACTCATTTGCAAATCAATCTGGTTTTCACGAGGGACTCAACTGAATCTCTTGTTTATAACGTTCTACAACTAAATGTGCTGCACACAAGCCGCCTCATGATTCAGTTGGCACGATATTCGAGATATCGCAGTATATTTTCATAAAGGAAACTAGTCACAAGGTTGCTGAAAAGTCTTGGACAGCCGACGACCGGTTTCGCCCTTCTTGGGGCTCATCAGGTAGGCGCAGTTTCCGAGTTTCCGTCAACCTTATGTTCTACTTTAATCCAAATTATACTTTTTTCGAGAAATACACTCATTCGCAAATCAATTTGGTTTTCACGAGGGACTCAACTGAATCTCTCGTTTATGATATTCTATAACTGAATGTGCTGCACACAGGCCGCCTCATGATTTAGGTGTCTGATTTCCCACAGTGAAACGAATGTGTATTGAGAATACATAAAATCCAATACACGTAATGTTATTTTGCTAACAAGTACGTCATCGTTTCCTCTTGTGAAACTAGCCAGACTATATTCTCCAATGACGTGAGCTTTGATATAACTTGATAAAAATCGGAGGTAACCGTGACATATCTCATTAAATTTGACTCGTGGAAGTGAGTATAGGATGAACCATGGGCATAATGAAGGGCCTTACAAAGAAGTAAATATGGCCGTTTGACGCGGTTTGTTGCTGAAGAGAGCTTCGCATGTAGGCTATCATCCATCAGCACATTTGAACAAAGTGAATCATTGCAAAAGCCGTTTCATCATCATTATCATCATCATCAAAATTAGCACCGTAGTCTCCATCATCATCCAGATTGAGTTATTTTGCTATCTAGACAAAGTGGTGAGAACTGGTGTTATGACTCGGCGAGATTTTTGAACAGTTTGAACATGGGACAACTTGTCTAATCCAAAACCGAACGTGGTGGGGAGTCTTGTTTTTTATGCACTCGAACTGCCGTGTTACTTCACTAATTATTTTGTTTCCATTTTAGAGAAAGCCGCAGTATTTGACACGTGTTTGTTGACAGTGTGCTGCTCAGTTGCATCTGTTAAAATATGTTAATTGGTTGCTACAATTTTTCCAGAAAAAGATCACCGGCAATGATGGAATAAAGACGATAACTTGTCAGTTTCGATAAACCCTGCAGGCGGACCTCAGAATTAGACAAAGACACCGTAAGGAGACTCAAATATTTCCATGCGTGGGTTGGCCCTTCGAATGCGGTTGTTCAACCAATGAGTAAGGTTTGTCTCTCATTTAAACCTAAGGATAGATATCGATTTATTTATTCATTTGGCCGAAATGCTACAAAAGATTTCCAAGGCGATTTTTTCTTTGCTTCAAGTCGATCATCAAAACACATTGTGGTTGGACAGGTTTGAAAATGTCTGATACAGCACTCTAGCTCAGTTCGCGTTTATTGAAAGTCTGTCGATAATTTCTCCTTGAATTACTTCAACTCCTCGGTTAGTCTTGCCGTACAACCTCGTTACTTTGTTGTTTTATCGTAATTTCTCTCCCTAGAATGATGATAAAACCATCGTATACTTCCTGGAAATTCGGCAAATTTTGATCACGTTCTTCTGTGATATTTAATTTGGCGCTAAATC